AAAAATGATTTGCAAATCATAAATCCCACAAAGGACTAAGATCTAAAGTATACGAAGAACTCTCAAAGCTGAACAGTAAATACAGCAAACAATCCAATTAGAACACGGGCCAAAAAATATTCACTAAAAAAGGTAAACAGATGGCAAATAAGCATATGAAAATACACTCAACATCATTAGCCATCACAGAAATGCTAATTAAAATAACAATGAGATATCACTACACACCTATCAGAGTGGCTAAAATAAAATTTGTGACAACTCCATCTTTCTAGAAGCAGAAGTTCTTATTCTTTTTAAAATATTAACCATTTTACTGTGTGTAGTGGTATCACATTGTGGATTTAATTTACATTTTGTTGATGATTAATGATGTTGAGCACGTTTTCCTAAGCTCATTGGCCATTTGGATAATTTCTTTTGAGAAGTGTCACTTCACATCATTTGTCCATGTTTCTTTGGGTTATAGGTTATTTACTTTATTTTTCTTATTTTGACATTTATAGGCAAGTTTATGTATTCTGTATTTAAGTTCACTATAAGGTATATGTAGCACAAATATTTGCCTAGTCTGTAACTTGCTTTTTCACTCTCTCAATGTTGTATTTGAGGAACGTTAAGTATTTAATTTTGAGTGCAATTTATTATTTTTTCTTTTGTGATTAGTGTTTTTTGTATACTTTTAATGAAATCTCTGCCCACTCCCAGAGTGGGAGTGGCTTTCTTTGAAATTCCCCTGCTTTCTTTGAGAAGCTTTACAGTTTCACCTATCACACTTAGAGATCTTACGCATCTAGAATTTTTTGTGTGGTGTGAGGGAGGGGTCAGGGTACTTTCAAAAAACATAAATACCTAATTGCTCCAACACTTATCCTAAAAAGACCACTTTTTCCTCATTGAATTATATAGGCAACTTTGGAGAAAATCAATTGACAGTGTATGTGTATGGGTCTGTATTTGGATCTGACTCTGTTTACTGACCTGTTTATTTTATCATCATACCAACAGACCATTCTGTCTTGATTACTAGGGCTTCACATAAGTTTTAAAATCAGGCAGTGCAAGTCAAACTTACTCCTTTTTCAAGGCATATTATAGATCTTTGTACTTACACATAAATTATAAAATTAGCTTCTGAACTTCCACCACAAAAGGTTGCTAGTGATTTGATTGGGATTGTGTTGAATTTATGGGTCAATGTGAGCCAGTTGACACTTTAACATAAGGAGTCCTCAGATTCACAGGATATCTTCTTAATTTATGTAGGTACTCTCTAATTCCTTTTATTAGTGTGATGTAGCTTTTATTCTAGAGGATTTTCATATCTTCGTTATATTTAACCCCATGTATTTGATAAATGGCATTTAATTTTATTTTCCAATGTTTTTAGCCAGAATCTAGAAATAAAATTGATTTTTGTGTTTAGTATTTTGTTTAATTCACCTATTAGTTCTGGTTCTTGTAGTTTGTAGACAAATTTGTATTTTCTACATATACAAATATATCATCTATGAACAAAAATGGCTTTGCTTCTCCCTTTCCAAACTTTATACATTTTTCTCCTTTTCCTGAGTTGATGCCAGGCTCTCCAGTATGATAATGAATAGAAGTAGTGATAGTCTATCTCTTTGTCTTTTTCCTGACCTTAGCAGAAATAATATTTGACTTTGGACGTTTTCATAGATATCGTTTATCAGATTCAGGACTTTCTCTTCTATTTTTGGCTTGTTGAGAGTATTCATCGTGCAAAGGTGTTAGTTTTTTAATAAAATTCTCTTGCTTTTTTGAAAGTAAATTAAGTACATTATTTTGGTTTTCATCAAGCAAAGGAAGATAACCTCACTTCATATGGTCCTACAAAAAATACAATCTTCTACAATTCAAGACTCTGAAAAGAGGCAATACACTGGACAAACATATTTTTAGATTCTCCAGAGTCATACGGAATATTTCGTATTCCGTAATATTATTATTTAAAAAGGCAATTATTAGTGACCTCTACTGTCTTCTAAAAAATAATGGTAAATAAACCAACAAAGTTGTTGTTAATTACTTTTCTTCTGCCTTTAACTAATTTCAGTTTTTATTTGTTCTCATATTTTCAACAGTAGTGCATTATTGACTTATCTGTGTGTCTATCTGTGTGTGTGATCTGGCACAGAATAGGCTCCCAATGAATATTTGTTAAATGAATGAAGTATGACATTTACTCCCATATCTTCACAGTCTGATTTTCCCCACCCTAGGTTTTGGAAGTTTGTCATCTATTGATTAAATTTTATCCACAAATATAACCCTATATTTATCCTTTTGGAGTCCTTCGTTCAAAATATCTTCCATAAAATTGGAAGATTGCATTTAGAATAGTTTAAAGAGTTGCTCAGCATAACTTCTCCCACTAAATTCATAAATAATGACTCATCTACTCACTCAGGAAACAAGTAATTCTTGAGTGCCTAGTCTGTACCAACCTCTCTTATAAACGTTAAATAATATGGGCTTTTGAACCAACCTTTAAATATGAAGTAAGAGAGAAAAGGACAATTAAAGAAAGGCCAACAACTGAGAATCATAGTGGGGATATTACTGAAATAAAGGAATCAAAAACAACCAAAACCTTCCTTGGAGTTTACAGAGTGTTTGGAGAAAACAAGATGAATACAGAGGTATTACAACTAAGACGTCCACCTTCAACCCTGAAGAAGGCGTCTTTCAGAAGATTGCTGGCTGACTTTTGGCCTGGTTTGAGTTGTGTAGTTCATGTATTCAGTCACAAGAGGGAGCTGCTTCATCTGCAAACCCTTTCTTGGAGAAGGGAAGGTAAGCTTATGTTTTCCATTGACGTTCCACAGAAAACAGGACAAATGACATATTCCATCCTCTCTAGACGACTTGTACTTTATAATCTCTTGCTGAGGGTGTGTGGTGGATGATTCAGGGCCCTTAGCCCAATAGCCTGAGCCCTTTGCCTGTACCTCCCTAAGAACTTTCCCTCTGTTTCCCTTCTCTGATGATCCCTTACCTTCCCCATTCCTTATACTCTTTTTTCTTCCCTCCTCTAACCTTTTCTACCACTGCCACCTGCTCCCCTTGTTTGCGTTCCATTCTCTCTTTTCTTTCTGCCTCAGTGTCCTCGGTGCCCAGCACCCACAAGCATGGACATAGAGGAGATCAGTATTAAGGACGTTTGTTCCAGGAGGATCAGAGTGAGCATCATACGTGTCATCAGTTACTCTATCAAGAACAGAAGCATTGAGAAATGTCTCCCTAGAGGACAGTGGATACTTGACTCTAGGGACCTTTGTAGAAAACCTGAGCTCTAAGAGGTTTAGATTTTAGTCTCAATGTTAACATTTTTTCTTTTCCCCATGAGCACACCATTGCCTACTTCTGTATCTGATATGTATTTTCTGGAATGTGGATGGGACTCTTTATCTCCTTACAGCACAGAGCTGAGTGCAGTTTTCTGGGATTGAAGTATCCTTTCCACAAGCTCTGTGGAGCATCAGCCAATTTCTTTGGTAAATTGAGGAAGAAATGATGGAAGAAAGGCTCTGGATAGACGCCTCCTTGTGATTGATCATCCTTATCCGGAGCCAGACTTTAAACCTCACAAATGGTTGCAGTGGACACCCTGTGAGTTACAGATGTTTAGTTGATATTCTCACCTTCTTCTTGGGGACACGACTAAAGCAGGGGAGGAAGAAGGAACTTCTCTCTCATTGGCTGACAAGATCCTGGCAACAACACAGTGGTAGCTGCACTCCTTGCAACTCTTTACTAGTAGCTGTTGCTTCTGTTCTCTGGAACCTCTTTAATCCTAGGTTCAGATACAAAGACTGAGCTCTGGGACCATGATCCTAGTTTGTCCTTGAAGTATGAGGCTGGTGACTGGAGTAACCCTGTTTCTGACCTTGGGTAAGTGTTCTGTGTCTACCAAGGGATGGTGTTAAGGCCAAGGGACCTTGAAGTGTTAACTGCTCTCTATTCTTCTCCCTGTGATTTCTCCAGCATGCTAGGGATGGAATTGAGAACTGATCGCTGCATTTGTCTACGACACACAAACTTCTACATGATTAAAACATAGCCATGATTCTAAAAGAGCTCTTAACATTATCCAGGTTGTAAGAAATCTCCGGGTTTATTGAGCCAAGGACCCATGGAACAGAGCCCGTGGAGTCTCTGATTCTTGGCATGTATCTTTGGTCTCCATCATGAACATGGATGATATTTTTGTGTTCTAGCAGGATATAAGCAAACACACTAGAGTATGAGATAGGGCCCAAGAGTTCTGGAATTGTTGTGTCCTTGATCCGTAGAATTACATTGATTTGTGGTCAGGAAGTAACTTGATTTTCTTGACCCTTTAGGGACTGCGATTGATGCTAAGACCACTCAACCAAGCTCCATGGATTATGCTGAAGGAGATGATGTAAACCTACCTTGTAACCACTCTACCATCAGTGTAGATGATTATATACATTGGTATCGGCAAAATCCCAATCAGAGTCTACAGTATATAATTCACGGCTTACGAAACACTGTGAACAACAGCATAGCTTCTCTGACCTTTGCAACAGACAGAAAGTCCAGTACCTTGATCCTGCGCCAGGTCACCCTGAGAGACACCGCTGTGTACTACTGCATCGTGAGAGGCACACTGGGACAGATGGGGCTGCACCTGTGCAATATCTCTCTGGTGGTGGGGGTGGGGGGTGGGAGGCAGCAGCCATGGAGAGCAAATCTAGAGCCATCTAGAAGGAGAATGAGAGAGCAATAAGAAAGAAGGAAAATGAAGGGAAGGAAAAAGGGAGAAGATAGATAAGTAAAGAAGAAAGACAGGATGAAGGGAGGGAGGACAAGGAATAAGCATTTCCTTTGTTGATGTGGCTGAGAAGAATTATGAGGAGACTAAGAATCATAATTCTAACATAGCAGTGAAGTGAAGGGTTATTAATACTTTGTCATGGCTCCTCCTCATGTCAATAAAATGTTGGTTTCACTGTGTTAGTCTCAATACAAAAGGTGAGGAAAATAAAAATAATTCTACTTGTCCCAAAGGCTTCTTTCTTTTGGACCCAGGGGCAAGTCCAAATTCTGAAATGCATACTATCATAATTGTTCCGGTCAGCAGAAACAAATTATCCTTTCTCTGAGAAAAATCAGAACTGTTTTGTGTTGCTAGTCTAGAGCACGTATATTTGTGATGAAGAAAAATTTTTTTGGAAAGAAACAAAAATTAAATGAATAGTAGTTTATTATTTGTTTAGAAGTCCTGCATCTCTAAAGAGTTTTCATCATTTTTTGATATTCCCTAAGGAACACATACCCATCTCATTGTAAAAGCCTCAGGCAGAGCAAAAGTGAAAGTGTAAGTGCATCTCCTTCATTCCCCCCAGCTCCCACTGTCCCTCTCAGAGAAACCAGCTCTGATAGTTTAAGCCAGCCCATATTTTTGCATATAATTTGATGCAATCATGTACACACTCACACACACAGACACACACATATATATACACAAGCAAACAATTTGCCATGTAAATGGGATTTATTTGAATTTTTTGCAACTTGTCTTTTGGTTTTCATTTAATAAAGTGTCCTGGAGATCTTCCTACAGTAGAAAAATGTAGAGACGTTCACCTCATTCTTTCTGATGCCTATTTAGTATTTTGAAACATTCCATCATTTAATTGATTACTTTCCTCTTGATGCAAATGTGTTTCTATTTCTTTGCTGTCATAAAGAATATTGTCTTATACATCTTTGTAGATTCACTTTTGTATATATGTGGAAGTGTCAATTTTAATGAGATTTCTGATACTGGAATTGCTGTGTCAAAGGAAAATTGCATTTAAAATTTTTGGAGAAAGTGACAATTTCTCCTTCATATGGTGTTAATTATACTCCAACCAACATGAAATGAGAAAGCTTGTTTTACATCCTTGTACAAATTGGGAATTACCAATATTTTTTATTTTAACAATCCAAATATACTTTATATGCTTCTTCCTGGTTCCTAGTGCTTTCAAACAACTTTATCTGCATATTTTAGCACTCTGTTTTTTGACCTTAGTCACATGCTTATTCTCACCTTTTGACTATTTTTCTACTATGTTATTTGTTTTTTTATTTTACTTTGTAGAAATCTTATATAGTTATTTGCTTTATATTTATTTGCAAATTTTATTCTAACATACTACCTTTGTTTATTTCTTAATGTGGTTGTCTTTAATTTTTGCATTGTCAAATCTCCAAGTATTTATTTTTGGCTTCAAAAGTCAGCATCCTTTTAGGAAAGCCTTAAGTATATTATATTTTTTAATCTTCACTATCATTTGGTGAAGAATTATTCTGAGACCTATGTTACATATTAGAAAACTAAATCTCAAAGATATTCAAAATCTTGCCAATATTCACAGTCTTAATATGTTTTAGCACCAACTTTTTAATTTATTTTTAAACCTGAGATTGTCAAGCTCCGAAGTCTGAGCATATGTTGTTCAATCTTGCCTTACTGGAAGAAACAGCAAGAAGAAAACCCCCAAATGATGAATCAAACGGAAAGTCAGTGGAATGGATTATAGTACCCATCCTAGGAGATGACACACGTTTTAAAGCAAAATGTCAAAATGTTAGAGTAGGTATCATGAGTTATAAGTTGAGAAAAGCAATGGTCTTTAATCCTATAAAGACATAGTGCTAGCCCCCTAAATATCCAGATGGCAGTAGAAATACATGCTGATTATAGAGAGATTATGAAGCAGCTATTGCTCTTTTTAGCCATGTACTTTCCAAGCAGAAAGGATAAAGAAGAAATTAGTACACAAAGCAGAGAAAACAGGAGCTAGGAGCTCCTATCCTTGATGTGAGTGGCATTCAAGATATTCTTAGATCTTCACAAAGACTGAGAAATTTGTCCTGGCACGTAGAAGGTAGACATAAAGCGAAATGGCTATGATTATCATACATCGGAAATTGCTATGATTCCATGAGGTAACAGATATTTTACTCAGGTCTTAGAAAGTGCAGTGGGAGGTGCTACTAGCAGTTTCTAAAAATTAGCATATCTCTTTCAAAATCCCTCCAGTTATTTTTTTCACTAGTTTCCTCCTCTTCACAGTCTTTTGTCTTCTTTTCATTCTAAGACCATCTCTGCATCATTATATTTTAAAACACAAAGGTCTGAATTTTTTTTTTGTCTGTTCATTGAAGTATCCTCAGTAACTAGCACAGTACCTGATAAATACTAGGTGCTCAACAAATATTTATTGAATAAATAAATATTCATGACTAAAAATTTTACTGACAAATGCTAGAATAGAATAAAATACTGTAGGCATGAGTTAGATCTTATAACAAATATAACAAAGAACTCAAGAATATCACACTCATGTAGTAATGAAGATAGGGATATATTCCAAAATCCCTATTTATTCATGTACTCATTAATTCCTTCCTTCCTATTTTACTTTTTTTCCTCCCTCCTCTCTTTGCCTTATTTCCTTTATTCCCTTTTCAGTAATTATTAGTAAAATAGGTCCCCCAAGTATATTGTTAAGCTCTTCCTGTGAAATTTCAGTTCATTCCAATTCAAAATTCTCCTTATCTGTGACATTCTTCATGGATCATGCTAAGTGGTATAAATTTTTCCTTCTTCTATTAAAACTATTAATATACTGCATTTGTCATAAGGTGATTGACACCAGATGTTTTGAAGAGTTATAATGGCATTTAGCTAGAATCTCCTGGAAAGGAGAAAATTCTCCTAACTTTACAAAAATGGAAACAGAAAAAATAAAGACAGACATTTGGACACAAGTTGATACTCACAATCAACCCATTGTCATAACTACAAGCCAATGAAGGTGTAAAATATATGATTATTCAACAAAGCTATGCCCCCAGGAAAAACAGTGCTTGCCAATGTTCAAGTAGTGAACAGATTTAAAAGCCTTTCCTTATATTCCTGTCTTTGTTATCCCTGTTCAGAAATAATCCTCTACCAATCAAAAAAATCAGTGGTTCTTCCTGCACTGAATGTTTTCTGCTTTAAAATATGTTTCTAAACTTATCTTCATAAATTAGAAAATTAATGAGTAGTTGTTACCAAACACAAATGTAGATTCATTACCCAATGTCAGGAAAGCCAATAACAGGAGAGTCAGGCTTGCAGCAAGGAAAGAGTTTTATTATCAAAAGGCAGCCAGATAAGGAGATGGGATTAAAACTCAAATCCATCTCCTTGAAGGGAAAAAGGTAAGGTTTTTTATTTAGGATTTTAGGTAAAGAACAGGGAGTATGTTCTGGGATTTTAGGTAGTGGAGGGGTAGCATGTCTCTTTGTTGGCTGGCTTTTTCAGTCTGTGTTTTGTCTTGAAGATTAAATCTCCTTTTTCCTTGACCATCTGGACTTTTCTGGTTAGTTTTGATCCTGGGCCCAAATTTGGCTTTGTGAGGCTGAATCTCCTTTCTTCTTGACATCTGGACCTTGACTTCCTGGGAAAAACGGCTCACTCATATACTAAGAAGAGACAGAAAGACCTGGTTAGTTTTAAACAGTGGTTGATTATGCTGAGTATGCACAGCCACAGTTAGCAAAGCTTATCTCAAGTTTTTTTCCTCTCTTTTAACTCATTCATTCTTGGTTTCAATCCCCACTTTCTTATAATCATTGTCAATCTCGCATAATGAGGGCAAACACCACTCTAGCTACTTCCAGATGTGAAAGGACAAAGATCAGGGTCAGAGGAATGAAACTGTTCTAGCTTTATTTTAAAATATTTTTGGGTGCCAGGTGGGGAGAACAAAGTACGCTTTGTATGACTAAAATTTTAGTACTTTGATCAGTGGTTTTGGAACAACACTTAAGCCCACATTTTATAATTGCATAGATGACCACACACATTTGCAAAATAGACAGTCAAAATTTTAGTATTCCCTCCATAATGCACCTTAATCCTTTGGGAATCCAGAAGTGCCTTGTAAACCAACCAAGGTTAGTGCCTAGAACCTCATGTGAAATCTGATGTAGCCAAGTAGCCTGCTGTCTAATAGTTCAACATGTAAGGTAAGAACCTGGGAATCATTCATTACTTGTCTTTAGGAGACTGTCTTCTGAAGAGTAACTTGCAGTCAGTCAGGGGTTCATTTGTCCATTCAAAGAAGTCAGGTCTAGAGTACGAAGCCATCCAAGGGTTGGGTGATCCCAGTTGTGATATTCTTCTATGATATTGTTCTCATTCTTGTGGCATTTCTTGTATGCTCCCATCCAGTGCAGATGAAGTTGATCTTGTGGGTGCTTATGCTTCCAGTATTTCAATATGACCTAGTCTTCAACAGCAAAGGTGGTGCAGAGGAACATCTGACAGTATCTACTTCCTTAATTTGAGTTCTCTTGAGTCTTTTTGATCATCTCTAGAACATAGGAAGGGTCTCCCAAAGTTAGGCCTAAGTTGTGTAAGCATGTAACCAGGCATTTACAAACAAGCATTTCTAGAGAAACAAAAAGAAAAACAAGGTTAATGGTTGGAGTAAATTATAAACCAATTTTTGAGCCCAGGGAATGGCCAGTCAAGAAGTTTTCTAGATGTCAAGGTTGAAGTACCTTTTGCAGTTTGAAATGTTTCTGATAATGTCATTGGATGTTCAGATAAACTTTTGAGTGGCTTATACAGCAGCAGGCATGAAGATTGTCTAAATATGGGCTATCATGGAGATCTCTCTAAGTTTACATCAAGTTGTCCAACTTCAGTCTCCAGGGCTTTAGGGGAAAAGGATGTTTTCAGTTCTCAATGATTCCAAGTGAAAAAGATGGAAAACATTGAAAATGTTAGTTTGGAGATCTGTACCAGATATTTAAGGAAACTAGAAGAATTTAGGATCCAGTTCAGTTTATAGATAGAAAATGAAAACCTCAAACACAATTAACAGAACTAGAATCTAATATCTACAAATTTGTATTATTGTTTCTACTTAACATAATTTTCCTCTCTAAAATCACCCTCATTTTTGCTGAAGATAGCCAAGTTAAGACTCATTGGTTTGGAAAATAAGTCTAGTTTCAATAAACTTGGCCTAATTATTTACATAAGTATAACAAGAATAGCAATTGATCATATAGTTCTTTTAAATCTGCTTGCTGGAACTTTTTATAAGGAGTCTCACATTGAAATTTAAAAACCTCTTGAGACCAGGAAAGCCAAGATGAGGACTTGTCTTCAGACTCAGCCTGCAATACCTATAGATTTGGGTGAATTCCTCTCTTCTCGAGGTCCCAAAAATATCCTGAGGTTCTTCGCATCTGCCAGGGAAGTGACCCACTTTACTCACTGGTAAGGTTACTGGAAACCCTAAAAGCAAAGGTACCAGGCCAGTATTTTGAAGCAGCTTTATTTATTCCATAAAGTCAATCCTTGTTTCTTAAAGCTGTTTGGTCATATCTGAGTCTATACATGTTTCTCTCAAACATGACATTCCAGTCAAAGCCTTGGTAATATAACCAGTGTTTCCAGTTGTGTCCTATAAAGGACACATTCTTATTGAACTTATGTAAATAATTATATTGCCATGAAAGTAAGGATATTCACTCATCAAGAGTTTCCAAATTCTGGAGGGATCTGATAGGGAGAAAAAGATAAATATTTCAATTTTGCTTACAAATTGCTATAATTCATAGTTCCTTAAGAGAAAGAAGAAAAAGGTTTACTTAAATCTGGAAAAACAAAACATAAAAAAATCAGCACTATTTCAAATGAAAAGTTATAAAAATTATGATCATCCTCATCAATTAATCAGTCTCATGTAAACAATTTTTGATCTTGGTCTTTTGTTAGCAGTTTTATGAGGCCATCAGTTTCTCCACTAGAGTTCTGTAGTTTCTTACCCAGTTCAATTTCATAATCTGAAAGTTTATTAGAAAACTGCATTCTACAGCAATTGTTAGAGACCTTTCCATGAATCTCTCTGAAGATGAAACATATTTGCAAAAACATCAGAGTAAAACAATTGCCTGCAAGTGACAGAAGACCCAAAAATGGCTATTTTCAAAAACCTTGGTTATTTCTGTGACATATAACACTTTTAAATTATGACTGACAACCAGGGCAGACCAGAATTTTATTGATATTATATAATTTTTAAAACATTTATATTAATAACATTTAACCATACAACATAACCTAAGAAGGTTTTTCATCATTTATTTGGCAATGTTTCCCATGTAATTTAACATACCAAATAAGTCTAATTAGTTTAATATTTCCCTGTTTATAGAAAGAAAGGACAAATTGTTTGAGAAGTCCCAGGGTCAATTGGAAAATCTAAAAGTTCCTTTTTAAGTCAAAAGAAAGACTTTAATTTTGGGAGAAGTTTGTCAAAAATGTCAAGTTTTTAAAACACTTGGTCAAATAGGAAACAATGCCAGATTATCCAAGGTGACAAGGTGATTAACCAAGGTGACAACAGAATATGTCAAAGGCAAACAGAGAGTAAATAGAGATACCTCAGTCTTTTTGAACACAGGAAATTATTTTAACAAAACACAGCTTTTCTGTCTTTTAGGTAGACTTACTCAAAGGTAAAGAAAAACCTTTTGTATCCTCTTTATCAAGAGCAAATCAAAAGTACAAGAAAATTATCTTTTTAAGAGAGAAAGCCAAACTATAATTTTGCACCAGCTTACTTTTGATACTGAAACTTAATCATTTAATTAAATCCATTTTAATCTTAGCCAATTTGACCATGCACAAAATTCTTTCCTGAGGGTTTTACTTCCACAAACCTTCTGTCATTTACTTTTTATGTTCAGAATTTGTCCTACGCCTTCTTTCCTAGAGCTGTTTTTTTCTTTCCTAGTACTTTAGGACAAATTTATCTTTTTTAACAAAAAGAACAAAAATATTTCCATTCTTATATTTTCTTCGCTGAAAATATACATCTTACTTTTCTTGCATACAGACTTTCTAGAAATATGTCCTTTCCCATAGAAAATTCTTCAGTGTGGCACAAAACATGTTTATTAACAAACACAAGCATTTTTTCAGTTTCTCTGACATGAGAAGCCAAAGGCGGACAAATCTATATATAGTAATTAATTTTAACATTTTATCTTATGTAGAAATGACCTAGATACTCAATAAATTCTTATACTTGAACTTAATTTAGCAAAATTTAGCAAAATCTAAAGTTTTGAAGGTATTTTAAGTACACCTATAACACATAATTACTGTTAAAAAATTCACCACAAATCTTTTATACTTTTCACATCTATTTAATTTACCTGTTTCCAATAATTATTTTAAATTGCTTGCAAAACTCCATGAGACAAAATTCTTTATACAAAATCAGCTATTATTTTGTTATTTCTATTTATTTATATTTTGATGAGGAAGGTTGGCCCTGAGCTAATATCTGTTACCAATCTTCCTCTTTTTGTTTGAGGAAGATTGTCCTCAAGCTAATATCTGTACCAATCCTCCTCTACTGTACATGTTGGATGTCGCCACAGCATGGCTTTATGAGTAGTGTGTAGGTCTAAGCCTGGGATCCGAACCCGCAAACCCCAGGCCACCAAAGTGGAGCATACAAACTTAACCACTATGCAACCTGGCTGGCCCTTTTAAGTTATTATTTTTTAAGAGCAAATTTCGTAACAGAGATAACATGTCTTTATCATATCCAATATTGATAACTCTGAGGACATGTCTATTTCAATCAAACCAAGAAACTTAAGTTTTCACTTACCAAAGATCATTTTATATCATATTATCTTGAAAGCAATTTGGGTTAGTTTCTATTACATTTAGAAATATTTACATAAGTTTTTACATCAAGCCAATTAAATAGAACTCTTTTAAAAATTATGCCATCCAGAGCAAGACAAATGTACATATAGAGAAAGACTTACATACATAGTCATACACATACAGATAGACACAAACAGAGATCTTTAAAATTCTATCCATGTCTCAGGCACAAAACTCAAAAGAATAGTTGGGTCCAAACTGCTCCCTGCAGATGGACCTCCTCAGATGGCCAAAGATTTTTACTAAATATTCTTTTCTTTTTGCTGTAAGGATCCCTTTCAGAGCTGTTTTTGAAAACATTTTATATTTTATAAGCTTCTGCATATCAACCAAAGATTGCATTCTATTAACTCTGAGAAGTCAAATCCTCTCTTTTAGGGTCCCCCTTACGGTGGGTTTATCTGAAACAGAGGTTCCACAGAATGGTCATTACAATTTCAAATTATATCAGAAGTTTACCTATTTCCACTTGCTTAATTTTATATCAGGAATTTTTGGGGAGCTGAAGTAGGGGAGCTCAGTGAGAGATGAGAGAGGAGCAGCCGATTTGGTTTTCTTTAACTAGCATGGTCACTGGTGCAGCTGACACCCTCCAACTTGGCATGATTTTTATTGAATTATTTTCTTTTAAAGAGGCAATAAGGGATTCCTGATCTTGTTTAGAAGCCTCTAAAAAATTAAAATAGGCTTCCCATTGGTTTAATTTTTATAGCCAGCTTTTTTCAATTGCATATGCAAATACACTATTTTGGGTAAACTGAAATTGTGCTATTTTGGCCATTTTAAAGTGAGATTTCCTTTAGCATGTTTACTTAACATAGCCTGAAGGGTGGATTTATATGTTATCCCAATATCAGGCAGGGGAAATGTTCCCCAGTGAGACACAATGTTTATCCCCACAATATAATCTATAATACAATCAGGCAAAAGAGATGCAATCATTTTATATAAAGCCCATATAAATATACTAATTTTTTTTACAAAACTTTATCTTATTTTATCAATTCTTATACATTTAACTATAATTTTTATTAGGATTCCATAAATAAATCTCAGTCTTATTGTATAGGAGCAGCATCCCCAGTCAGACATAACATCCATTCCCAAAAAACATTCAGGTAAAGTTGACATGACCTCTTCATATAACATTAACTCAAATATTTTAATCCTTATGATCTTGTCAACATTAGCAGCCTAACTGTTGCCCCATGCAATTGTTGGTCAGGTTTCTCTTTGCAATTTCTGCCTTTTGGCTTTTTAAATTTTTCCAAACTGGGGTGAATAGAATGAGCTTGTTTGAGTCCTTTAATGTTGGGGGGCTGGTTGGGGGTCCCTTTGGCTCACCCAATCTTAGGCAGTGTTTTATTAAAACCTTTGTTTTAACCCCATTAGTGCCTATTTTATTCATCCCATTTTTTTTTTAATAACTAAGTAGAGATTTCCATACAGCTGGGATGAGTCCTTCTTCCCTTTTTGATTCCTCTGTGTTTTTCCCACTTTTAATATTTGCTTTATTTACCCAATTGTCTTATGTCCTAAAAACTCCTTTAAAATTTTTCACCTTGTTGAGAAGAGTCCTTTTATTTTCCTTTCAGCTTCTTTTTATTCTTTTGTCACCTTAATGCTTTCATTAGCATCTGTAAGACCATGAGATGAAGCTGAGACCCCAAATTTGATTAAATTCCATCTTTTTTCTTTTTCATAGGTTTGTAATGGGAAACATACCAATTTTGCAATACATCACCCAGAGGGCTGCCACTGGGATTCTAATTCAAGTTCCCCATTATGTTGCCACACACACACACAATATACATATTCACATGCACACACAAAAATATCAAAACAAATGGAGCAAAGAGTTAATTTTTTCAACAAATTGGGGCTCCCCTGAACAAATTCCAGTAACCTGGAACAAAACCCCTGAAATGGGCAAACAGACTACACATTCACGTACATACACAGACACAAGCATCAAAACAAATGGAGCCAAGAGTAGCTTTATGGGAACAAAACTCCAGTAACCTGAAACAAAACCCCTGAAACAGAGGCAAACAAATTACACATTCACATACACACACACAAGTGTCAAAGCAAATGGAGTCAAGAGTTAGTCGTTTCAACAAAATTGGGGCCTCCCAAAAAACACTCAAGTAACTTGGAATGAAATCCATGAAACAGAAGCAAACAAATGAAAGGAAAAATGGGACTTGGTCAGTTTTAATGAGGAAACTCACCAAAAGGGCATCTGTTCAAACCAGAAGGAAAAAAAAAAATCTAACGCCATGATAAAAATGTACCTAGGGCTAGCATTGCTGGGTCAGATGGAAAGTACCGGGGATGGTCCCTAGGGCAAGTTGCTTAGGCAGCTGCTGGACTGCTTCTCAGGGAATCCCATTTGGCCGAAGGCCACAGAGCCACAGGCAAAAGAGCCTCCTGGTTGGCTTACCAAATTGTTATGGAACATAAACACGGGTTCCTTACTAGATGTAGAGGAAAGCCAATAATCAAAACGTCAGGCTTTTATCAAGGAAATAGTTTTATTATCAAAAGACAGCCAGACAAGGAGATGAGAGTTAAAACTCAAATCCAACACATCAAAAGAAAAAAGGTAGGGGTTTTTGTTTGGTGTTTTAGGTACAGGAGGAGAAGCATGTGCTGGGGTTTTAGGTAGAGGAGGGGGAGCTAATATGGGCATTACCAATAGGGCATAGGAGGGGAAATATACATTCTTATCTTAAGAGAGTGCATTCTTTAATGGTTAAGCAGAGAACTGAGAATTAGCAGTGCACATTGAGGATTTTAATGTTCCACAAACTCCACCTGTTAAGCAAGTCTGAGAGATTGCTTCTAAAGTTAGGAAAATACTTGATTTGTTCCACCAGGATTGCATGAAATAGCCAACACGATAAACTATTTTCAAATTAACTAAAGACCAGAAGTACATAAGTGATAAGAATTTGTAAGAAATGAATTAACAAGTGTATACACATATGACACATGGAAAATAAAATATCCTGAGCACAAAGAGGAGGAGAAAACTGCTAAAAATAATGTATTTTAGTAATTAGAACAAAAGTTTAGAAAACTGCACCATCAATGCAGTAAATAAGTGGTGATTATAAAACAAAGCAAAAATCTAAAAGTAGAGTAAAAACTGAAATGAAAGAGAAGAATAAGATGAGCAGATGGAGATAGGTGATAAAATAAAATTTGTGATAAAACTAATATTGAAACAGTGTTATAATAAAAAATGAAAGAAAGGAAAAACATTTGCAATATTTGCCAAGGGTAAAGGATGGTCATTTTAATAAATGGCATCCAATAGTTTGTCATATAGAAAAAATATATCTATATATCTTCACCTTTACAACATATATAAATAGCTGTTCAGATAGAATGCAGATCTGAACCTAAGAATAAAATATAAAGCTTGTAGAAGAAAATACAGAACTTTTCATTACTTTGTGTTAGATATTTATTTCTTAAATAAGATACAAAAATATTTAAGCATAAAAATTGGACTATATTAAAATTATTTCAAGAGTTAAGAGGATATTCTATTCACTTCTATTCCAGTGAATAGAAGATATTTGCAGCAAATATTATTGTCAAAATGTTCGTTTTGTTTTAAAATAAAGATCTTCAAATCAATAAGAAAACAAGAAAACTGATAGAAAAGCAAAAGTCTTAAGCAGGCATTTCTCAAAAGAACAGCCAATAAACATGCCACTTCTACAAGGTACAGAAGCAGACATAACTAATCTATACTATGAGAAGTCAAGATGGTGTTAACCATGGGACAGTATCATCAAAGTCATCACGGGAGCTCTGAAGTGTTGGTAAGATTCTGTTTCCTGATCTGGGTGCTGGTTATAAGGGTGTGTCAATTTTGTGAAAATTTATCAAGCTATACATTTATAATATATTTATACTTTCTTATACATATGTTATACTCCAGTAAAAATTTTAAAATGATACAATGGTCTCATATTAATTGGAATGTGATATGTGAAGTAAAACTAAAATTTCAGGTGTTTCCATTCTAGTTTTCCATTTTTTGTGCCTGAAATATTGGAGTAAGAACACATTTGTTAAAAAAGCATGACTTTAGACCATGAGTGAGCTCTGGCCCTCTATTAAAAGACCATAGATGAGAAATGTGATAATGGTCTTTTCCTTCTAACTAGGATACAAATGTAGGACTTTTGACCCTTGGTATGTAGTCCGAGGAGCCTAGCTATTGACATTTTAGATTATCAGGAAAAGTAGAAAAGTCTATTGAATAGGAAAGGATGATGAATCTCTCAGGATACTTACATCTTATTGATCAGAACAGAGTACATGGTAACACTCAGCTGGGAAAGTCTGGGGAAGGTATATATTTTTATCTAGGAACATTGCTCACTAAAGGAACTTCAGGATTCTGTTAGTAAGGATGAAGAAGTAAATCTACTATGTGTAGGCGACAAGCAGTACCTGCCACAACCTTAAAAACATTAAAGGGCTCCCATAGCACTGTGGCATGTTATGTGGTCAACAAGATTTGTTAGCCAATATCTTTGCCATAATTAACATTACCCCAGAATTAATGCATGGTTCCAGTTTGCTGTAATAGTGTGTAAGGGAGTTGATCCTGTCTTTGGGTTTGATGGTCCGGTGAAATGGAAGAGAGGAATTGTGCTGATTGACGGCATTTATAAAAGAGCTTTAGAATGATTGTCTTCAGACTTCATATTAGATAAAGAAGCAAGAGAAGACAAGAGAGAGATGATGTTCAGAAAGTAGAGAGGTCAGATACTTAAATTATCAATAGATAGGAAAGCAAAAAAGAAGATCCACAATCAACCTAAATAAACATTCCAAAGTCTTCCAGCACATTACAGCCTCCGTTGCAGAGACCCAGGCAATTATTTATAAGCAGTGAGTGCAGTGATTGTGGGGCCCCAGGGATTGTTCTCTAGGTGTGCCCTCTGCTGCATGGGCTTTGCATGTGAGGTAGAGATACTTTTCTCCAGTGTTTCTGTCTATAAATAGTAGCACATGAAGATTTTGTAATGTAATGTAATGTAGTGTAATGTAATATAGTGTATGAGAGCTGAATCCATCTGGATAGCCAGAATTTACGGATTTATGGCACCTGCTGAGAGACTTGAGTACCAACCAATCTTACTGTGGTTGTGTTCCTCTGTGCTAGGACCCCTTGGAAGCACATTCAGTCCTACCTGTGACTGACTGCTTCCAGAGAGGAATGATTCACCATGGAATTTGATTCTGTTTATTTTATAAATTCACCTAACTGCCTCTTATCTTCCTATGGAAATTTTTCCACTTTGGCCACTAAGTCCCCATTCTATTGTAAACAAACATTCAGTGGCCTCTGTGAAAATCCCTTGCACATGCCTTTGCTGAAACCCAACTCTGTTTGGAATACAGTTTCTTTCCCTTGTTGTTGCTCCTTATTCTCCCTCATCTACAACACCTCCGATTTACAGATAGGAACAGCATTCTCCTCATCACCCTCAGAAAACCCAGACTATGGTCTGTGCACCTTTGAGACCCAGGCCTTTCACCCCTACTTTTTCCTATCCCTTTTTCTCTCTCATCTTTATAAACACCAGACACTCTTGCTTATACATTAAAGACTGAGCATAGCTCAGAAGGTTCCACTGTAAGGTAAAATACCACATGACGTAAATGTCCATGTGGACAATTCAAAGAGAAGTCTAACCTCATCAACTTTAAAGACTGTTAGTTAGAATTCCCTTTAGCCATAAACTCCCATGGCCACACTCTAGAAAGATTGATGGTAATCCTCTAGGTAGATGCTACTCTACCTCTGAAATCTTACTTCCTGTATAAAACCTTGCGTCCTTAGATTCTTACACTCAGTTCATACTACAGCACTTGCTCTTTGATGATGTATATGATCATTTAGTCCCCTGATAACTTTATTGTCACCTTATTTCTCTAAACACCTAAACTCCATGGTCCTACTTCAATCCATCTTTAGTCATTAGTCTCATTGTTCTTGCCCCAATTCTGTGTCCTGTAAGTGATTTTATTAATTTCCAATCATGGATCAGTATCCATCTTCTTATAATGTACACTTTGTCTTATAATGTACACTGTGTTCAAGATAATCGCACAGGTGTGCAAACTGGTGTCATTGAAACCTGTTGTCATCTTCAACACTAGCTAAGCCAACTAGTATTCTTTTGTGTGCCAGAAAAGTATTCTTTGTCTTTGTAATTTTCTCCCATTGTCATTTCCTACAGGGACTATTTAAAGTTCTCATACTCCTCAGACTCCCTAACCCAGAACCTCCTCCATTCCCTCCCTTGGTAGGCATTTAATTTCTACTCATAAGAACAAAAAAGATCCTATTAGAGATTAATAGATGTTTCAACTTTCTGCCTTCACACACTGGTAAATTACTGAAATCTACACCAACTTTTTCCTCCTTCATTCCAATAAAATCGGAAAAAACTGTTCCTCCTTCTACCAAAATTTGGTCCTCCTGACTCAGGTCTGTATTTCAATCCTATCTGTCTCCTCAGAACTTTGATCCATTGCTTATAGATCTTTGCCAAAAGCATGTAAATATATCCCAATCTTTATAAAGCCTACTATTACCACTTCAACATCCTTGTCTAGTTAACACTATGTATCTT